AACATGATGCCCGCAGAGAAGGGCCGGGAGAGGCGGGTGAAGGTGGGCTGCTGAGCGAAGGCCAAGATGCCCAAGATGATGCCAGAGGTGGCGCCCAGGACTGACAGGATCATGAAGGCCCGGGTGGCATTCCAGTACGCTGTGGGACAACATCATGGTCACCCCAGTGCTTACTCTGCCGCCCCAGCTCCTCCCTCACCTCCTTGCAAATGTCCTTTCCTTCACCTACCACACGCCTATTCATCCTGCAAAGCCCACTCCTCAGTCCCCTCCTCTAGGAAGCATGCCTTGACTCCCTGCAGGCATCATTCTCACCCTCTCTTCTGGGATGTGACTCTCTTTGCCTATCACCCCCTCCAACCTGGTGGCTCAGCTGCTCACCTAGAGAGAGGGTGTCAGTTTGGACCCACCCAGCAGCTCCATGGGAGGAGACCCTGTTCCTGTAAAGATAGAAGCTTAGGAAACCAAACGGGGCCCTTCTACTCTGCCACATGGAGTTAACTACAGTTGAACATTGATGGCGCCCCAAACAACCCTCCAACCTGACGACAGGGACACGGGTGATTCTGAGGTTCACTTCTGACACTCCTTGTTTGCTTTATACACAGACCTCAAGAAATGTTTGGTGTTGGATAGATGAATAGATGATGGATGGGTGGATGGATGGATGGATGAATAGATGATGGATGGGTGGGTGGATGGATGGATGGATGGATGAATGAATAGATGATGGGTGGGTGAGTGGATGGATGGGTGGGTGGAAGAGTAGATGGGTGAGTGGGTGAATGGGTAGATGAATGGAAGGGTGGATGGATGTGTGGATGGGTGGAAGGATGGATGGATGGGTGGGTGGGTGGATGAATGGTTGGAAGGATGGGTGGGTGGGTGGATGGGTGGGTGGCTGGATGAGTAGATACTTAAGTCCCAAAGCTTCCTACTCTTGGATTTGTCTTGCCTGACTCTGGGAACCCCCAGAACACCTCTATGCTCCGACACAGAGCGCAGATCCCAGCCTGGAAAATACAGAGGCCTTGGATATTTCCATGAATGAGTCCTGGCCATGTGGTGGATTTTGCGTTGAGCTGCTAACCACAAAGTCAGCACTTTCGAAATTAACAGGGGCTCCCCGGGAGAAACGTTTCTCCTCCGAGGCAAGAGTTCACAGTCGTGACAGCCCACAGAGGCAGACCCTGCCCTGTGAGTCGGGGTCTACTTGACAGCAGTGTGTGAGCCGACTGACGTGAACTTCCTGCCGATTTCTCCATGGATGCCTCTGGGTGGTTAGTCTGGAGTCTTTAGGAAGGGGGCATGCAATAGGCCGTTGCATTCCTACGGTTGTGCTAACGCAAGAGTGGAAACCTCAAATGCCTGTGAGGTCCAGTTGCAGCTGCAAATTAGGGAAGGAGCTGGGGGTGGGCTGGACTGAGGGGACACACTTTGGGAAGGTGAGCACACAGGGCCCCTGTCGCAGTTCTCAACAGCTTACGGCCACCTCTCTCTTTCTCTCCCTGCCATCCAGTGAGATTCTGGCTCCTAGCGACCCTACAGGACAGGGTAGAACTACCCCACTGTACCTCTTGACGGGTGTAGTGAGCCTCATCTTTCTCCTGTGGAGCAGCTGGTGGTTTTGAACGGCTGGCCTTGCGGTTAGCAGCCCAGCTTGTAACCCACTGGGTCACCATGGATCCTTCTGCCTGCCTCTGCGAGCTATCCTTTGGAGGATACCATTCCCTGTTCAGATGACTGGGTGGTTTCTGTCTCCTGAGTGGCGGACACCATCTATTGGTTAGGGACATCGGCAGCTGACACTTGTCAGGAGGAAAGGTGGCCAGGACCAGGGGGTGGGGAGTGGCTGGTGTGGATGGAAATGGGCCCCTTCCTGAAAAGAGGTTGAGGAGCTCACCCTGGCACCTGTGCGAATGATGTTTGAGAAAAAGAGGATTTTCTTTTCTCCCCCCTTGTTAGCAGGCTCAGCCGCTCGCCGAAAGGTCAGCGGTTAGAGCCGCCCAGCAGACAGATGTACAGAACGCAGCTGTGGACCTAGGGGCCGGCTGTACTCTGTCCTGTGGGGCTGGCCATGAGTCAGAATCCACTTGGTGGTGATGGGTTTTGGGGCTGGAAACATATATCTAAGGAGCCTTTGGTGTGTGTGGGGGTGGGGGGGTGCGCGCACTACAGTGCTACACTCAGTGTTAGCTGGGAGGTTGCCCCTGGACCCATCCAGCTGCTCTAAGGGAGAGATGAGACTGAGTTCTCTGGCGAAACGTTGGGAACCAACAAGGGCAGTGGTTACTAAGTCCTAGGGCAAGGGTTGAGGAGTGTCCACGGCAAGGGCCTGACCTCATCCTGCCAGGGAGCTGACGCCAACTCCTAGCCACCCTGCAGGGCAGGGTCCAACTGCCCCTGTGGGTTTGCCCCAGACTGTAACTCTTTATGGGAGTAGAAAGCTTCATCTTTCTCCCAAAGAGCGCCTGGTTGGTTTGAACTGCTGACCTGGTAGGTAGCGGCCCAACACGTGACCCACTACACCCATGCCACCTCTCTCAACTGAAACCCTAAACCCACGGCCGTGGAGCCCTTTTAAGACTAAGAGCAACCTGGGAGCACAGAGCAGCAGTGCCCCCGCAGGGTCTCAGAGGCGGTGACTTCCGGCTGTGCCAGGAGCCAACAGCCACCTCTTTCTGCTCGGAGGAGCTGGGGGGTTTGAATCAGCCACCCTTTGGTTGGACTGCTTAGTGCTTCAACCACTGAGTCACCAGGACTCCTTGTATCACACACACACACACACACACACACACACACACACACACACACACTGCCCTAATTGTGCTAGAAAACATCATGGAACCCTAATGGGGCACATTCCATGCTGGTGACCTTGGGCCAGCCCCTTTCCTTCTCAGAGCCACGAGGTTCTATGCCTGGAAAATGCCCTCCAGGCAGCAGATTCTGAGCTGCACGTGGTGAACCTGAGCCGTCTGGAGTCTAACGGGGACCCTGGTTGGTGAACCTGGATTGAACTTGAGACCCTGGTCTGAGCCGTCTGGAGTCTAATCGGGACATTGGGTGTGACCTGCACATAGTGAACCTGGGACCCTAGTTCTGCACTGCATGAACCTGGGACCCCAGATGGTGAGCTACATGAAGTACACCCAACACCCTGGTTCTGCTCTGCATGTGCTGGGCCTGGGTCCCCAGCAATGCCCACCCCCTGCCCCAGCGCTCACCGATGCTCTCTGTCTGCAGGTAGCACTTGGAGCCCAGACAGTACCGCCACAGGCCCTGGTGGGCAAAGGACCCCGAGAGCCGGTACTGCATCCAGTGGTCGGTGGCGGTAGCCACCACCATGAGGATGGTCCCAACCCAGGCGCAGAAGAGGCCGCCACTCATGAAGCTGTACATGGTGACCTGCAAGAGGGGAGCAGTCCGGTTGGGGCTGGGTCCTGGGCCCCGGTGGAGGGAGGCTCCAGGACTACCAAATGCTTACATCTGGGGAAAGAGGGCTGAGCATGAAGGAAGACACCAGGTAGGCCCTGGGAGAGGATGAAGCTGGGGCCTGATTCCTGGGTCCTGGGGAAGGTCTTGGGGATGGGGGCTGAACTCCTGGGTCCTGGGGAAATAGGGGCTGGGGGTCCGGATTCCTGAGCCCTGGGGGAATAGGGGTTGGGAGGCTGAACTCCTGGGTCCTGGGGAAATAGGGGCTGGGGGATGGATTACTGAGCCCTGGGAGAAGAGGGGCTGGATTCCTGAGCCCTGGGGGAACAGGGGCTGGGGCGCTGGACTCCTGGGTCCTGGTGATGAGGGGCTCAATGTCTGGACTTCTAGGTCCCTGGGGGAGGAAGGGCCTGGGGGACTGGATCTGGGTCCTGGGGACAGAGGGGGCTCAGGGGCTGGATTCCTAGGGGAAAAAGGGGCTGGGAGCTGGACTCCGGTCTCCTAGGGGAGGAGGCTGCCAAAGGTCCCACTCCTGGGCCCTACCTGTGTGGTGGAGCCGGCCCTGCGCCCTCCGTCTGCCACAGTCCCTCTGTGAAGACTGAGCTGAGCCAGGTCTCTCCTCACTGGCAGCCTCTCAGCCCCAACTGAGTCCCCCAAATCCCTTAATCCCCCCTCAGACAATGGTCCCTTGGGCTAGAAGCTTCCAGGCGGCAGAAGTGCAGCGATGGCAGAGCCTCCCAGTGGAATTTGCTGAGACAGGAGTCCAGCCCCTGGCCTCCCCTGTCACCCTCCCAGCACCCTCCCACCCTTGTACAAGCCTTGCTCATAGCACCCACTTGGGGGGAAACCTGGGATGTGTACACACACGTACACACACACATATACACACACACACACATATGGAGACAACGTTACCCATTTATTGTTTAACCAGAGTCCCCCATCCCAAAGGGTAGGACATGGAGGAGGGGATGCATGTGATCACTTAGAGGGGGCCAACAGGGTTCTTCATGGGGCGGGGGACAGGAATGCTGCAGGTGGGGCTAAGAAAACAAGGAGGTTGTAAACGGAACTGGACAGTAGGCAGGCCTGGCTGGGAGTGTGTTAGGAATGGAGCTGGGGGTTGGGCGTGAGTTTGGAGGTGGTGGTGAGGTTGAGGGGCCATTAGAGTTGTCTGACAGTTGGGGATGGAGATGGTGTTGGGCATGGGCCAGGGTGGGGAGATAGGTGGGCGTGGCTTCAGGGCCAGGACTGGAGTTGGGGATGGGGTCAGGCTTGAGGTTGGAGCAGTGGTTACAGATGGGGATGGAGATGGGGGTGGTGTCTGGGGCACTGAAAGGACAGCATGGGTTTGGGTAAGGGATTCATAGACTTTTTTTGGCCTTGGGTTCTAAGTCAGGTCCAGGGGTCACCAGGTGACACTCAGAACCATTTCTGGGACCATAGTTATTTTGCGGGGTGGGGGAAGGGGCTGGTGGGAGGAGCCTGTTTCTAGGGCCATCTCTGATGGGGGCAGGTGGCCAGGAGAGGCCCTCTCCGATGCGGTGGTGTGGACCTTCCAGACCTTAGTACTCGGACTCCCAGTCCTCCTCGGCAGCGGGTAGAATGTCGGGGGGAGGTTCCAGATCCTGGGCTTCCTTCCTCTCATTCTTGGCAGGAGGTGGTGGTGGCACTGGTGGCACCAGCGGGGTCTTGGGGCCAGCCCCAGAGCCCCCTGGCCATCTTCTCTTGGGCTTCTCAGCTCGCCCACGCCCCAACCGCCGCTGGCCCTGCCCCTGGCCACAGCCACGCCTCTGCTGGATGTCCCTGACCCCTTGCCCGCTAGGTGGACCTGACTGGGGGCAGCAGGTCTCAGGAGAGCAGGGGCAGGTCAGGGACTGTTGGAGGTTGTAGGCCCCCAGCAGGGCACTGTGCAGGAGGTAGGAGAGGGCATCCAGTCGGATGGGGACAGTGACAGAGGCCAGGCCCTCAGGGAGGCCCAAGTGGGCTGGGTCTGGGGTACCCAGGAAAGATGGTGGCAGGGTTGGAAAGGGTGCAGAGGATCCTGACTCAGTCCCAGGTAATGGGGGGCATGGGTTGGACCTGGAATGACAGAGGAATGGCAGAAGAGAAGGTCAGTGCGGGTGGGAGCTTTTTCTCACCACCACCACCCCAGCACCATCGCCATTCCAGACTACAGCTCCAATCTGTCTTCAACCCCAAGACCTCATCCCAACCTCATCGCCAACTCCACTCTTACCACTTATCTTCCAATCCCAGTCCCATCTCCAACACCATCTCCATCCCCAACTACAAGGGCAGCTCCAATCTGTCCTCAACCCTGAGGCCACCTCCAGCCTCATCCCAACCTCATCTCCATCTCCAACTCCACTCCTAACCCCAAAACCATCTCCTTATTTTCCTGATGCTGCTTTGATACGTCTATCGATCCCAGGAGTCCATTTCTCCCCGACATTAGTTCTGTGCCCACCTCTGACACCCCCCCGTCCTTTTCTACCTCTAAGCCTCTATTTGTTTCTCTCTCTTTGTAGAGCATCTAATTTTGCTCTTATTGAGGATTTACACCATGGCACAGACACCCACTAAACCATTTCTACATGGGAAGTCCGGCGACATGAATGACATTCTTTGTGTCATGGGACCAGGCTCATCCTCTTTTGTTCCTCCAATCCCACAGACTCCCTGCCCCCAAGTGTCCTATCCAGCCTCGCCGTCATCCATTCGAGTCCTGAGATAGATCTTAAGAGAGACGATGCTCAAGGCAGGCACTCTACACGAGTTAAGCTACATTATTGTAATCGGTGCCCCCACCTTCAGGAGCCCTGGTGGCATAGTGGGTTATGTATGTGTTGAGCGGCTAACGGTAAGGTCAGCAGTTTGAAACTATCAGTAGTCTCTCCTGGGAAGAGAGATAAGGCTCTCTAGTTTTGTAAAGAGTTACAGTCTCAGAAACCCACAGGGAAAGCCGTAATCGACTCCAGGACAGTTGGGTTTGGATTTAGTTTTATCTCCATCTTCAGGTGATATATATATATATATAATAAAATGTTTCAAGATTATCTCAGGAAAATGCTTTCAGGGGCTTCGGAACATTTGAATGCCACCAGAGGCTGACGTTCTGTTTTGTATCCCCCCCCCCCTTTGATCAGCACTGTTATCCAGAATTTCTGATAAAAAATATTCAGTAATGGCAGCTGGGTACCATCTAGTTCTTCCAGTCTCCGGACAAAGGAGTCATTTCTTCCTGCTATTAGCTACAGGCTGCCTCTTCTCCCCTCCTCTTACTCTCAGTCTATCTGCTGCTTCAGCTGGGTTTCAGCATCAGAAACCCATCAGAACTCCGCAAGGTCAAATTCCAGGTTGCCTCGCTTTCTGGTTTGACCTTGGGCAGATCACCCTCTCGCTTACGTTTTTTTATAGAAATACTGGCTTTGGGTAGGATCAAAGGCCCGCCCATATGAAAGGGCACCGGCCTGGGAAGCACAGAATCCATCTGGACAAGCCCTTTCCTATCTCCAGCCCTGCAGCTGCGCCTCAGAATCCCTGAGTGGCGCTGTTAACTCACTTGGCCGCTGATCGAATGGTTAGAAATCCCAGGCTACCCCATGGTGCCTCGTTAGAAAGGGCTGGTGGTCAGCCACTGAAAACCCTACGGGGGACAGAGTTCTCACAGTTCTACACGGACATGCGTGGGGTCGCTGTGAGTGGGAATGGGCTGAGGGGCCAAGCGATGATGATTCTGAAGCCTCCCATGCTGGGCCTCGTGCTTGAATGTTCTCGGTGTCGGAGAAAGAAGTACGTTTCCAGCTCCGGCTCCCTATCTCTGTGAATCC